AGTCAGTCCCCACTTCGGTTTTATCATGTATATCTATTATATAGTCATTTTATAAAATTTACTGTTTGCAAAATTACAAATTATTCTAAATAATAAGGATGTTCTTGTCCCAGGCAGAAAACCCTGGCCGTTGTTTTACTGTAGAGGGCATGGTGGTAAGAACTTCAGAAGTATATTTAATCAAACATCTTGAAGACCCGCCTGTATATTGTTTTGTATGATTTCTGTAAATTTAAATATCCAGCATAAATATTTTTATCGTTCTTTTTTTATGATACTACCAAAAAAGAGAAAGGGACGTATTTTCTACAATCTCCTTTTTTGTGAAAGAAGTAGGGTATATGTGGAATTCTCTGTTTTGCTGTATATTCCAAGTTCTTGAGTGAGACATTTCAAATAATGGTTCTTGCATTTTAAACAATATTGCTAAAGGCTTTTCTGCTGGAAAAACAATATATGTTTTAAGAAGGGAGGACAAAGCATCAATAATCAGGCTTCTTGAAAGATTCAGAAAGCCTTGTAAAAGTCAATCAATACTATGAAGAAAAACCGCACAAAAACGGCAAAATTGTCTTTGTTGAACGTTAGCTATAAGAGCAAACAGGCGCAAATACATGTTGAAAAATGCAGAAATTATTCAAAAACGCCGCATGAAGTTCACTGCCTTTAGCCTTTTCAAATATATAATTGTAAATACAACCTAGGCTTCAACTGAACATTTTATTAAATAAGATTTATGACGTTATAACACATTGCACCCATTACAATTTATTAAGTTTTACTTTACGTAACATGTAATGCTAAAATTCGTAAAACACGCACACATATAAAAATCACAACCTTAAAATAAGTAAATTTTCTTTTAAGTGTGTATATTTTCAAATGTGACGTCACTTTGTGCGTTGAGGCTTTGGCTAACTCGGCTGTGTATTTTTATGTGTTGGATTAAGTTGTTTTATGTAATGTATCCGTTTTTATTCTGTAGTTAGTCCCCACTTCGGTTTTATCATGTATATCTATTATATAGTCATTTTATAAAATTTACTGTTTGCAAAATTACAAATCATTCTAAATAATAAGGATGTTCTTGTCCCAGGCAGAAAACCCTGGCCGTTATTTTACTGTAGAGGGAATGGTGGTAAGAACTTCAGAAGTATATTTAATCAAACATCTTGAAGACCCGCCTTTATATTGTTTTGTATGATTTCTGTAAATTTAAATATCCAGCATAAATATTTTTATCGTTCTTTTTTTATGATACTACCAAAAAAGAGAAAGGGACGTATTTTCTACAATCTCCTTTTTTGTGAAAGAAGTAGGGTATATGTGGAATTCTCTGTTTTGCTGTATATTCCAAGTTCTTGAGTGAGACATTTCAAATAATGGTTTTTGCATTTTAAACAATATTGCTAAAGGCTTTTCTGCTGGAAAAACAATATATGTTTTAAGAAGGGAGGACAAAGCATCAATAATCAGGCTTCTTGAAAGATTCAGAAAGCCTTGTAAAAGTCAATCAATACTATGAAGAAAAACCGCACAAAAACGGCAAAATTGTCTTTGTTGAACGTTAGCTATAAGAGCAAACAGGCGCAAATACATGTTGAAAAATGCAGCAATTATTCAAAAACGCCGCTGGAAGTTCACTGCCTTTAGCCTTTTCAATTATATAATTGTAAATACAACCTAGGCTTCAACTGAACATTTTATTAAATAAGAATTATGACGTTATAACACATTGCACCCATTACAATTTATTAAGTTTTACTTTACGTAACATGTAATGTTAAAATTCGTAAAACACGCACACATATTGAAAATCACAACCTTAAAATAAGTAAATTTTCTTTTAAGTGTGTATATTTTCAAATGTGACGTCACTTTGTGCGTTGAGGCTTTGGCTAACTCGGCTGTGTATTTTTATGTGTTGGATTAAGTTGTTTTATGTAATGTATCCGTTTTTATTCTGTAGTCAGTCCCCACTTCGGTTTTATCATGTATATCTATTATATAGTCATTTTATAAAATTTACTGTTTGCAAAATTACAAATTATTCTAAATAATAAGGATGTTCTTGTCCCAGGCAGAAAACCATGGCCGTTATTTTACTGTAGAGGGCATGGTGGTAAGAACTTCAGAAGTATATTTAATCAAACATCTTGAAGACCCGCCTGTATATTGTTTTGTATGATTTCTGTAAATTTAAATATCCAGCATAAATATTTTTATCGTTCTTTTTTTATGATACTACCAAAAAAGAGAAAGGGACGTATTTTCTACAATCTCCTTTTTTGTGAAAGAAGTAGGGTATATGTGGAATTCTCTGTTTTGCTGTATATTCCAAGTTCTTGAGTGAGACATTTCAAATAATGGTTCTTGCATTTTAAACAATATTGCTAAAGGCTTTTCTGCTGGAAAAACAATATATGTTTTAAGAAGGGAGGACAAAGCATCAATAATCAGGCTTCTTGAAAGATTCAGAAAGCCTTGTAAAAGTCAATCAATACTATGAAGAAAAACCGCACAAAAACGGCAAATTGTCTTTGTTGAACGTTAGCTATAAGAGCAAACAGGCGCAAATACATGTTGAAAAATGCAGAAATTATTCAAAAACGCCGCATGAAGTTCACTGCCTTTAGCCTTTTCAAATATATAATTGTAAATACAACCTAGGCTTCAACTGAACATTTTATTAAATAAGATTTATGACGTTATAACACATTGCACCCATTACAATTTATAAAGTTTTACTTTACGTAACATGTAATGCTAAAATTCGTAAAACACGCACACATATAAAAATCACAACCTTAAAATAAGTAAATTTTCTTTTAAGTGTGTATATTTTCAAATGTGACGTCACTTTGTGCGTTGAGGCTTTGGCTAACTCGGCTGTGTATTTTTATGTGTTGGATTAAGTTGTTTTATGTAATGTATCCGTTTTTATTCTGTAGTTAGTCCCCACTTCGGTTTTATCATGTATATCTATTATATAGTCATTTTATAAAATTTACTGTTTGCAAAATTACAAATCATTCTAAATAATAAGGATGTTCTTGTCCCAGGCAGAAAACCATGGCCGTTATTTTACTGTAGAGGGAATGGTGGTAAGAACTTCAGAAGTATATTTAATCAAACATCTTGTAGACCCGCCTGTATATTGTTTTGTATGATTTCTGTAAATTTAAATATCCAGCATAAATATTTTTATCGTTCTTTTTTTATGATACTACCAAAAAAGAGAAAGGGACGTATTTTCTACAATCTCCTTTTTTGTGAAAGAAGTAGGGTATATGTGGAATTCTCTGTTTTGCTGTATATTCCAAGTTCTTGAGTGAGACATTTCAAATAATGGTTTTTGCATTTTAAACAATATTGCTAAAGGCTTTTCTGCTGGAAAAACAATATATGTTTTAAGAAGGGAGGACAAAGCATCAATAATCAGGCTTCTTGAAAGATTCAGAAAGCCTTGTAAAAGTCAATCAATACTATGAAAAAAAACCGCACAAAAACGGCAAAATTGTCTTTGTTGAACGTTAGCTATAAGAGCAAACAGGCGCAAATACATGTTGAAAAATGCAGCAATTATTCAAAAACGCCGCTGGAAGTTCACTGCCTTTAGCCTTTTCAATTATATAATTGTAAATACAACCTAGGCTTCAACTGAACATTTTATTAAATAAGAATTATGACGTTATAACACATTGCACCCATTACAATTTATTAAGTTTTACTTTACGTAACATGTAATGTTAAAATTCGTAAAACACGCACACATATTGAAAATCACAACCTTAAAATAAGTAAATTTTCTTTTAAGTGTGTATATTTTCAAATGTGACGTCACTTTGTGCGTTGAGGCTTTGGCTAACTCGGCTGTGTATTTTTATGTGTTGGATTAAGTTGTTTTATGTAATGTATCCGTTTTTATTCTGTAGTTAGTCCCCACTTCGGTTTTATCATGTATATCTATTATATAGTCATTTTATAAAATTTACTGTTTTCAAAATTACAAATTATTCTAAATAATAAGGATGTTCTTGTCCCAGGCAGAAAACCCTGGCCGTGTTAGGCGCAACGTTTTGGAAGTTTTGGTCCTCGGTGCTCTTCAGCTTTGTCCTTGTTTTGTCTTTCAACTTTTTTCATCTGAGCGTCACTGGTTGGTCTTGTGTGGACGAGACGCACGTCTGGCGTATTGAATTTTAAGCCTAGTACCTTTTGTTAGCTATTATTCGTGTGTTTCTTTGTCCTATATGTTCTCCCATTTATTTGTATTGTGGTCTTGTCATGTGATGTTGTCGTTTTGGTGTTGTGTTTCACGTTGCCATAAAAGCGGGAGGTTTGGCATGCCACAAAACCAGGTTCAACCCACCATTTTTTTTCTTAAAATGTCCTGTACCAAGTCAGGAAAATGGCCATTGCTATGTTATAGTTCGTTTCTGTGTGTGTTACATTTTAATGTTGTGTTTTTGTTGTGTCGTTGTTCTCTAAATTTGATGCGTTTCCCTCAGTTTTAGTTTGTAACCCGGATTTGTTTTTATCTCTATCGATTTATGAGTTTCGAACAGCGGTATACTACTGTTGCCTTTATTTGAAAATAATTTGGAGTTTATACATTTGAATGACCTGCTTAGCACACAACCTTCTAAGATTTCTCAATTTCATTTGATCAGTTATATTTTTTTTCAGTTCAAAGATATAATAAAAAGCAATTAACTTACGCTTTATCAAGAAAAGAAAACAAGTAAAACCCTCACAGCTTATCCGGCAACTATCTCACAATGTATCAAGGAAAGAGAAAATAACAGGAAATATACTTACAATTTATCAAGGTAAGAGAGAGAATAACAGGCAACAAATGCTTGTATCAGAACCTTAACCGATATAAGATGCCAACAATTTGATAGTTTGTCACCTTTTGGTAGCGTTAGAATGTTATTTCATTACATTTACAAACAATTTGAAACCACATGTGTACATAGGATTACGCTAGATATACTTACGAAAACAAAATGGCATCAGCAATTGTTAACACGTTGTCTTTGTTTAGGTCAAAAGTTTTATACAGTCTTGTCCATTTCTTTATTAGAAAAGTGTTTGCCATTCTAGGTAAGATAAAAATTAAGTATTTAAAATTTGTGAGCATAAAATTTTAGAGCTCACATATAATAGTAATTGTATAACACTTTACTGCAAGATTGGAAATGTTTTACTCTATAGAAGTAAGTGTGTCCATCTAATTGCAATTTATCACGAAGCCCAAAAAGAGAAAGACCAGGTGCGTTAACAGGGTATGTATGCATCACCCATCATGCAAATTCATACTCAGTCAAAATGTCACAATCTGTTTTTTTTTACTTTCGCTATAGTTTGTTCTTAGAATTGCACAAAAACATGTTTTCCTGCATGTTCCTTTATTTTTTTACATTGCTTAATTAAATTGTCTATGAAGTATATTAACCAATATAAAGTGCATGACGCTAGGATGTCTGATACAGCAGTTTAAGAAGTTTGAGCTTGCTGATAGTAAGGGCGCGAATTCTTTCAAACAATATTTATATGTTAATCATGTTGTGTTATCTATTATACAGCTTTTCAGTGTAAAGTGCTTTACATGTATATCAATATAAAAATAGAGGCGGAAGATATCAAGGGGATAATCAAAACTGATAAGTTTGAGCAAAACTGACAACACGATGGTCAAATACGAACGACGATAAAAAGACAAAAAAGTGCACAAAACATTATATAGAAACTTAAGACTGACCAACTAAAACTTGTTTATATCTGGTATATCATTTGCCTAAGGATAGTTATTTGAGATGAGTCTTGAAACAATTAGACGGAACATATGAATCATTTTCAATTTAGCAGGTGCTCATCATTCCTGTATACTGATCTGTTATATCTAAACTAGTCCAGCAAAGTTGTATAAAAATATAATCGTGACTTTTAAGGTAATTCTTTTGGGATCATCAGCTCAGTATTCAGTGCTTCTGTACTGAAATAACTAATAAAATACTTTTTTAAATGTAATTTATAAATCTTTTTGAAGCACGCTCAATTCTTTTGGGATGATCAGCTCTAAAAACAGTTCATTGGTACTAGAATGACTAAATCTATTTTTATCATAATTTTCATGTCGCAATAAAACATCAAACAATTGTCCAAGAAATCCAGTGGGAAACCGGGTTATGAATATATATTAAGTTTCAATTTGTTTGTAAAATTACTCGACAATTTAATTTGCGAGAGATAAGAATTTAGAGGTAATCAATACTATTGCCATCAATAACATTAAAAGATAAAAAAAAAAAAAATTACCAATGAATGCAGAAAATACATGAAGGAAAGTTTTCAAGCATTTTACAAAATGCCTAAATTTATAAAATGCCTGTGACATATAAAACTCAAACTGCAATTGATAGATTTTGGTAAAATGTGAAACAATTGTCTAAAACTTTTGAAAAGAAAATATCTCCAGCTCCAAAATTAAAAAAATCTTTGAAGGCAAAATTATGCCTCTCAGACGCAAAATAATTTATAGGTTCCGAATTTCTTTCAGTAAAAACAATGCAAATATGAAGTTGTAATCCTTCAGGTTTTATCAACTTAGAAAGGAATAACTAGCCTTTGGACAAATAAGCCAGTAAAAAGTCTTAGTATATATTTTGGTCGTAATACAAAAGAAAGTCAAACATTAAAAAAAAGTTCTGCAAAGAGTTTTCCTAATTGGGAAAATGAAACTTAACTATGATAAGAAGAACAGATATCTGGTTCGTTATTTATGGATTCCTATTAATATCACAGTTTTGATGTCGATCTCAACCAAACATAAGGAGTTTGTGTACCATTTTGAAAAATGATATATGAATCTATATAGAATAATCTTAAAAAAAAAGAAACGATCGCTTTTGAGTAAGGAATAATTACAGGTTGGATTAAAGATTGGTTAATTCAGATAAATGCATCTAGTTAGGATAAATAAAAAGAAATGCAGCACATACATTTTTGTTGTTTTCCATTCGTTTAATGTGTTTTAGCTTTGGTTTTGCAATTTGATGATATGAACTTTCCGTTTTGAATTTTCCTTAGAGTTCGGTATTTTTGTTATTTTACTTGTTTTTATACCTGGTCAGTATAAAATCAAACTTGAAAACAATGAACTAATCTTGCGTAGAAATCTGGAAAATTATATTCCAGATATAAAAGAATTCTTGTTGCCCAGTCTTTAGTTTTCTTTGTAGTGTTTAGTGGAATTGTTTGTCTTAAGTTTTCTGTGTATTGTTTAGGGGAAATGTTTGTCTTTAGTTTTCTGTGTAGTGTTTAGGGGACATGTTTGTCTTTAGTTTTCTGTGTAGTGCTTAGTGGACGTGTTTGGCTTTTCTTCGTCGTTCGTTTGTGTATGACAATTGTGTTGTCAGTTGTCATCGACTTATAAGTTTTGAATGTTCCCTTGGTATCTTCCGCCTCTTTTGTATTTTGATATGCATGAACCAGCAAGTAAAAATGTACAAAAACTAAACGTTATCAAAACAAAAACATCAAACAAACTTTAAAAGAATTCGTCAACAAGTTATTTGGGGAAATGGGTTTATAATATTTAAGAAAACAGTCTTGTTCAGTGACTGAATCGATAAGAAATATCAGATCCATTAATGATAATATTGATCAAAATGATAACATTTTGGAAAATCTTAAAAGAAAAGATGAAAGCGAAAAATTAAAGATATTTTTTTTAGAACGAAATACTAGTCCAAATTGTAGCTTGTTGTATTCGCTGAAAACTATCTAATAGTTAAGAATGAATAATGAGGTTCTTGACTTAGGACATGCAAATGTAAAACGTGATGGGATTAAACTAGTTTTGGATATCTCAACCAACACCCTGTTTAATCTTGATCAGTATATTACAAAAATGTACACCAAAAACATACATTAAAACCAGAACATGAACAGCACTTTACACTAAAAAATATAACACAACATGAATACCACATTTAACTGTTGAAAAGAATGCGCGCACTTACTTAATTCAAGCTCAAACTTCTGAACCTGGTAATAAGACACCCTAATGTCATACACTTTATATCAAATGCTTTACTTCATAGACAGTTTGATTAAGCAATGTAAAAATTTACAGGAAGACATGCTATTGTGCAATTCAAAGAATAAACTGTACAGATGAACTATAAGAAACATTTTCTGTGTCCTATCCCGATTGTGACATTTTGACTGAGTATGAATTTGCATGACGGGCGATGCATACATAGCAGGAGACGTTTACCCTATCGACGCACCTAGTCGGTCTCTTTACAAAATGCTTAAATTTGGAAAATGCCTGTTACATATATAAACATTTCTGATATTATTTTGTAATGCTCCGAAATATGATGTAATGTTAATCAAAAGTGTACGCACGAAACACTTACAGTGAAAATGTCTCTGCTCGTGAAAAAAATAGAGGGAAAAATTGCCCGGCTTTGGTTGATACATGCTATAAGCTCTTCAATTTTTGAAAAGATTTGGATTTTCAAATATCTTGGCTTCGATCATCACGGAAGAGACATTTATTGTCTAAATGCGTATCGGGTGCATTGCAATTGTTACCAATTTCATTCATTATCATGATAACAAAATAATGAAAGATAAACGTAGAATATATTCATTTAATATAATAAAAGCAATAATAGTGACTATAATACACACATAACACATGCTAAATATCTTGATATGGCGCATCTCATCTACAATCCCGTTCCCTTTTCACGAATGTGACCTACCGAATTAGACTATTTACCGGGTTTGTACTTACATGAGCAACACGACGGGTGCCACATGTGGAGCAGGATCTGCTTACCCTTCCGAATCACCTGAGATCATCCCCAGTTTTTGGTGGGGTTGCTGTTGCTTAGTCTTTAGTTTTCTATGTTGTGTTTTGAGTACTATTGTTTGTCTGTTTGTCTTTTTCTTTTTTTGCCATGGCGTTGTCAGTTTATTGTCATCCAGATACAAATTTATTAACAATTTCAACAAGTACACACGTCAAATGAAATATATTTCTGACAAAATATTAAATAGTAAACTATAATAAAGATAAAGGCAAGTCTTTTTTGTAGTCCAAATATCAAACATCAGACCGTCCATCCGCAACAAATTTTGGGTAGATATAGGATTTGATGGTTTACATTGTAACTGATATGGATTGTGATCATTAGGTGATGATGATGATAATAAGGATGCCCTCTTTCACTATCATGTACACAGATACACATCGACATATAATTAAGATGAAGACTTACCTTCAGAAATATACTTGTAATTTTGGTTCTATATGGTTCGAGGTATCTTTCTGCATTAATGTTCATACCGCTCACAAATTATTATTTAGCTTAATTTTGTATGCATCAATGAATCAATTATCTATAAAGATGACAATCATACTTGTAACGTCATCTGAGTTAGCTTCAGTGTATTTACTTAATTAATATTCATAACTTTTACATTACTTTTTAAAGTGAATTTGTATAGACTTCCTAAGAGAAATAACAATATTTAATATTAAATTTAATAAAAAGCACTGTTCAAACAGCATGAAGTGTAATTTAAATGTAGACAAATCAAAACGGTTCGCTGCTCATTTTTTTTTCGACAATGTTTCTCATTAGGTGTTCAATTTAAAAGTAGTATACAACGACGTTTGTGTGATCCTTAAGGTAAAAATATATGTAACATTTCTATCAAATTTCGTTATTAAGCTGTTTTTAAACTTTCCCTCTACTGATTTCTTTCAAAAATAGCTATGAAATTCAACCATATAATAATTGTTATTAAGAAGCTGTGATTTTTCTTGCTGAAAAAAACTTGCGTTGTATATATATATGTTTCAAGAGTAGTCCGGACCAAATATTTCAAGTAAAAATTGATTGTATGTTATTCACAGTTGTTTCTATATATTTCTTAATCTCATATAAATTATAACAATAACTTCGACTTTATGTTATGGCTATTTTAATAACTTGCACTCTTTGTATGTGTCTTTTTCATTGATATTTGTATAAACCAGAAATTCTTTGAAAAACGAATTATTAAGTATTGAAACTTATTAGTTTTGATAAATGACATTTGTTTTATTGACAATGCTAACTTTATAACCCTCTTACCTGGGAGATAAATAGTTAGACGCTAGACGTCAGTGTAAAAAAATACTTTTTGAAGTATCATTTCTAAATTTGCTAAAAGATATTTGTATTGTTGACAAATGTGTACTTTATTCCAGGCTTATCCTGGAGCCGAAATAAATGTCAGACATCAGAGCATGATACTATGTAGAATTTGGGAAATAATGCTTTCAGAATCTTAAAAAAAATTTACAGAATTATGAAACATTTGATTGATTTACACTATACACTGATATTCCTTATGCAAAGTATAAAGATTGTCGCCTTAAACAGATTTTATTATTACAAAAATGGGATCATACTTTGTAAATTTCTGCACTGATCCAAAATATGAATAAACAGAAGATAAAATTATTAAAATGCAGTTCGACAATATATATTTGTTGATATATAAAATTAAGAAGATGTGGTATGACTGTCAATGAGACAACTCTCCCTCAGAGACTAAATGACATAGAAGTTTATAAATTTAGGTCAAAATACGGCTTTCAACAATGAACAAAACCCAAGCCGCATAGTCAGCTATAAAAGGACAAATGTGAAACAATCAAACAAGAGAGCTAACGGTCTAATTTATGTACAAAACAATGAACGAAACACAAATACAATATACAGCAACAAATGACAACTACTGAATTACAGGCTTCATACGCCCACGTTTCAGTGATTGATTGAATCTCAAATATTCCAGTGAACTTTATATTAAGAATACTTCTGAAAATCTGCTGCATATCAATATAAAACTTTTACAATAAACTTATGAGGATGAACGGCTGAAATATACACTACATAAGTTATTTTTCGTTTACCATCACGAGTTGTTTGACCGATATTCACCAGCAACATTCTTTTAGTTTTATATCTTTTGATACATGAAAAGTTTCCAATCTGTAATTTATCTATTATGTCCTAATCCTGATTGTGACATTTCGAATGAGTGTGGATTGGCTTGGTGGGTGATTAAGCAAAACAGGAGCCGCTTCCCTCGTTTGATGTGTTTGAACTTTTGATTTTGCCATTTGATATTTGGTATTTTTGTTATTTTTCCTTTTTTACCCGTTTGACGCACCCGGTCTTATAAATAAATGGTTTGATCAAACTAACATTTGCAAGCAAAAACATAAAAAGCTAATTTTGCCATGACGTTATCAGTTGTTATCGACTTAAGTTAGAATACCGCTTTGGTATCTTCCGATCTGTTAACTATCATATTTTGCCATTAGGATATACAACTCCAAGCTGACATCATATGTGATCTACAATATATAAGGTTTGATTGATCTACCATGTGAGAAATAACACATATTAAAATAACAATATGTAAACTATGTTGTGGAATCAATTATTAAATGATATATGATAAGATCAATCCTAAAACGGACAAAACAGCATATTCAATGCGGATGACATCACCTTGTTGTAATTTTACACACGTTTGGCTTTATCCAATATGAGAAAAAGATATATAAGCCCATTGAGAATTTTAACTTACGATTTCAATTTTGTTAACGCCTGACTTAACTTTTAACGTTTCTTTATGCATTAGATAAATTTAATCACATTTTGTAACTTAAAACAACGTTAAAAAGTTTAAATCGTATTCTGTGTTTTGTAACGATATTAAAGAGTAGGAATGCTTTAAAAAATTGAATTATTCTTCCAAGCTACTTTATATTTGCTAGATAAAAAAACTTTTATCAATATTGAAAACAAAATCATCGTGACTGCGAATAGACAAGTTCAGTTTCCTGTACCTGCTTTACAGTAAGTGTCTTAGCTCAATAGAAGAGTTTCTGGGCCAATACAGCAAATCTCCAATCCATAACAGGGCCTATTCAGAAACAGCAACTTACTATAACGCAAAACTTATTTCACGTTATTCAATATCTGCTAAAGAAGAAATACAGTAACCAGTTCAGTAGTTATAACTTATATTCATTACGTATTGATTCTGATTATGATATAAATATAAAAAAGCAAAAGTGGTCTTATTTACAATGAGACAAAACGACTTAATGTGACAATTAAGGTCAAAAGGGACAACAGGAATCGCCAATAAATACAGCACAGTACAACAGACTACATCAACCGTCAACATCTGACTTAAAAACAGACATACAAACTAAGACAAACAACAGCGAACAAAACATCGTCTAGATAGCGCGGCTTGGTACCTGTTCTGACCCTGGTGGGCTTAATTAAGTGTAGAGTGCGACTAAAACCTTTTAATTAGCTCGTAGATCATATGTTTTAAAATAGGCACACAAAACCTGCACAATGCAGTTATCAATAGGATGACCACTTATTTAAAGATGAAGAAGGAAACGATATACAGCACATTATTTAGAAAGCAGATTCAATTAAAGCTTCCTACTACAGAAAGCTAGCTTAGGTATCATGTTGTCATTGATTATACCTTCTCCCAACATTTCGTAACGCTACTGTATTCTATTTTGTTTTATTCATAATGATATCTTAGGTCAATGTGTAAGAGTTTATAAGCTAAAAGACCTCAAGTGTAGCTAAATCCAAACAAACAATGATAGCTTTGCACAAAGATTATATTCCTCGATTTAAAAGGATTTCCAAAATTAAAGAAAAAAGAGATATCAAATCATTTCTAGATCGTTGCAAGTTATTATCGATTATAGAGGCGAAAGATACCAAAGGGACTCATAAGTCGAAAATATACTGACAACAACATGGCTAAAAAAGAAAAAGACAAACAATAGTACACAAAACACAACATAGAAAACTAAACACTGAGCAACACGAACCCCACCAAAACTGGATGTGATCTCAGGTGCTCCGGGAGGGTAATATTCGTTTACATGCGGATCAGGAAGGAACGGTGTGAGCTAGATAGTGTTTGTCTATCAAACTTCATCTGTGCATTGAGAAACAGTGCTGCGGTAATATGAACAAATTAAAAGTAATATTTGGCTAAGAAATATAACACAAACTTCCTTAGAATGTCCAACGTGTGCCTTTTGTATATATATTAAAAGCGCTGGAGCCTTAACATTAGGACGACATAAAAGAAGACGATGGACACTGCAAACCAAAAATAACCAAAAGTGCTAAATTCTTCTTATGCCATCTATGCCTCGGGGTAGAATAACTTTAGTGTTATTAAATGATTTAAATTTTTTTGGAACAGTTGTTTACAGAACATTACATTGATACTGTAATGTACTGGGGGAATAGTTAATATCAATATTTCAAGGAACAAATAGGGATACTTTTTCAAAACTTATTTGTTGTCTTGAAATATGTGTATACTTCCTTTGTAGCAAGCTAGATAAATATTTGATACTGATATTCACAGGTATGGCAGTACTTCACTATTTTTATAAATATCGCAAGTCACGTTTCAATTTTTACCAAATATAATATTTGGAGGATAGACATATTCTTCTATATATTTCTAAATTATGTTTGAACATAGGATTATAATGAGAATGATAATTATCAAGTTAATCAGATGTTAAACGTGTAAACTACTGGAAGTGGAATGCCTTTTTTAATTGTTCTGTTTATTTGTTGCGACACGGAATGTGCATAATTTATCATAGTTTACTTAACCATACAAAAAACAACCAATTTTTGCATTGAAAACTATTTCTTGAGACTAAATATCTTCTGTTGATGCATTTTAGGAAACTATCATGCAATACAATATATGAGTATCGCTCCTTTTGGAGTTCTTCAGTTTTCTTTTGTTACCTTGATTTGTCTCTTCCTAATCGATTCAAGAGATTTAAGCATAGTATAAGTACTCTCGTCTTAATTTATGCCTTAGATACAACGGGTAAAACTCATCCAAAACACCAGCTTATAATTTGGTACGCCAGACGCGCGTTTCGTTTACATCAAACTCATCAGTGACGCTTGCATTAAAACTGTTGGAAGTCAAAATCGAATACGAAGTTGATGAGCAATAAAACTAACAACTTGTGCCGATTCGGGCTGAGACAATCTATGCATGGGGGTTAAGAAACCTTAGTGTTTGGACTTATTCCACATTTTATATGTTTTATAAACAGTAGATATATAGAAAGTGAACATATCAATGATTTTCACACAGATATTCTGAATACTAGGCTAGTGATACTCTCGGGGACGAAACGTCCACCAGCAGTGACATCGACCAAGTGGTTGTAAAAACAATTCGCATCCTTGAAAATAAATCTATCTTAGCATTGCTAAATGAATAAATTTATTTTCATTTGGTCATACCCTGGCGAACACAAATATATTGTAAATATTTTAATTGAGGTGATGAACTATCTTTTAAATAACTTATGTATGAACTTTCCAATATCGTCTGCTAAATCAGTGTGCACTCAGTGGTGTCCGATTGTGTATTTCAAGCTGATTTATGGATATTATGGCTACTGAAGCTCTTTGAAATATGTCTGTTGTAGGACAATCTTTGGACAACTCAATTGATTTTTATTCTATTTTTTTTTTAATACCTTAACATTGTATAGTTCCGGCTTCCCGGAAAGGACAAGTAACCATCAGTTCAGTATGTCATATGACACTTACCCTTTTAGATTTTGTATATAAACTTGCGAGCACTCAGTAATGGCTGAATACACAAAGGTCTACTGGCGGCAAGTTCAAAAAGGTAACACCACACAAACTTTGATTAATTGTAAATAAAGCCACCAAACACTTTCGGTGAGCATAATTATATATATAATGGAAAACTGTTAGCAGTCTTTTTGTGCAGTAAGCTTTTTACTACCACATCGGATGCCACAATTATAAAGTTAGACTCCATATTTATTCATATGCTCTGTAAAACACAATTGTCAACACGAATATGCTTTATTTATAGTTTAATTTAAACAGTTCAACAAATAAAACTGTTAACATTGAAATTTCACTCTACCTTAGTATTCTTTAAAAGCTAATAGACCATAAAATAGTGAATACTATAGGAGCCAAACGACTAAAAAGGACTAAAAATAATAACCAAATTCCCTTTAAGTCCATTTTGCTTGAGGCTTTTGAAACCTTAGTTTCTTTATAATTTCTAAATTGGTCAACATTGAATTTAAGAAAATCCAGTAGTATATCATGTCAGAACGAACGCACTGAGCACTGAGCGTATGGTATTATCAGGGACAAGCAGTTAACAAGAAGCGGTATCGACTTATTGCTGGAAAGCTTAAATAACACATGTCATGAGGGAATATCGACAAAAGGCGAGCAATATTTGGTAATTCTAAGCAATAGAAATAATTTATATTCACATTAGTGAGATATACTTTCTTCCTTACATTATGCTTTAATCAATTTACACTCATTTGCACTTTTCCATTATTACATGACATAAATCACTACTTGGTGTCAAGTTTCATGAAAAGAAAAAAACAGGAACCTAAATCCTAAGAACAGCAGTGATCTATTGTCAAGGTAAACTTGTGTTTAACTGTTTTGTATACGCCTGTCGAAATACGTGTTGCAAATAACTTAACACTAGTAATGTTTTACGCCTTAAGTTATATGGATAGTAATATTCTATTTGAATTTTTTGATTTATCATATATCCAGATGAAATTCAAATAATACATTCTCTGAACCATATCGATACACGAAATCTGTAACATAGGATTTTTCGAAATGAATTTCATTCATTTTTTGACAACAAAATCATCAGGCACCAAGTATCAAAAATCAAACATAGTAAACAACCAATTAATATAATACTTTTTAGAATAATGACGATAATTAACTGCTACATTCTGTATTAATTACATAGAAGTTTCATACGACTGTGAATTTTGATTGGCCGAGGAGTTTCCAAAGTTATATATAGTTAATTTACTCAACAAAAAGCAACAAATATATCTGCAATTGCTTTCTGTGACAACGTTTTTAAAAATAGTTCACAGAAAACAATCGAAAGGCCTGATGTAACTCGTAGTTTCATAGTTGTATCATTAAGATGTAATAATAAGAATTGAATATTTCATTTTGTAATTCGATAGTGTTGTGAAAAGGTTGATCGCGCTTCATATAAAATATTCTTCGGTAAACGCTAAAATGTGCTTCCTTAAACGCATTTTCAACCCAATTCCAAATAGAAGCATTCAATTCTTAAACTCATTGACATGTTTCAGCAATTTGTCATAATTACATGTATAACGGACAAAATAATTAGATAGAACTTTGAAAAATAGGGACCATAATTATTTATATTCTGTCATGATATCAAACTGACTAAATACATGTAGCAGTTTCT